AAACAAATTATTAGAGCAATACAAGAAAAACTCTGTAGCAACTTTTTTTGGTAATAAAAAGTCGTTAACGTTTTTTCTACCCGTCAAAATATAGCGGACCTTTAATTCAGATAAAAAATGTTCCTACCCCCACCACCACTCCTACTGCAACTACAACTACTGATCCCACAACAACCACTGTTACTACAACTACCGTTCCTACCACCACCACTGTTACTACAACTACTGTTCCTACCACCACTACTGTTACTACGACTACCGTTCCTACCACTACCACTGCTACCACAACTACTGTTTCTACTACCACCGCCGCTACCACAACAACTGCTCCTCCTTCTACGGCTGCCCGTCGTAAGTAGTTCTTGTTCCAACCATTATTCAAGCAATATTTTCAACATTTGAAAAGCTCCATGTGCTTAGCGTCGATATTATGTTGGGCTCATCAATTGGTCTCTTCACTATCAGTAAAGCCAGGATAAAAATGTAGGGACACATTTTTGATCTTTGTTAGCTCTGCAACAGATTTTAACGGTGGTGAAACTATTCGAAAACCTGAAATGGGAAAATCTAAGAAATTTTATTCTAATAAAGAGAGCACAAACAAGTATTTAAGGCAATTTTGATAAGATATATTCAAAAACGAGAATATCCTCATTTCTTGATTATATTTGATGTGTAAACTTAGCACATCCAAGACGAGAGTATCATATTGTCCTCATCCTTGAATGGATACATTGTCGGTCTCGCAACTTTTGCACTTAAAAATTTCAGCATGCCAAGACCTTGTTCATCCAAGAACGGGCATATCGGATTGCCCTCAACGTGCGTATTTGTGTGAAAATCCTCTCTACCGACAACTAATGGCTGAGCAGTGCCCGTTGACGTGCAACAAATGTACATCTACCACGCCAGGACCACCGCCACGTAAGTTTGTAGTTTAAAAATTGGACTAAGTATGTATAATTAGTGTATTTTTTATCGGTTACTTCAGGAAAGAAGTAGATGTATTGTATTTGCGTGGCCGTAATACTAATCCATTTGCAGTGCTCTTTCGAGATTTTTATCCACCTAAATTGTTTGCTGAATCTAAATTGAGAGCTGGAAATGTGTAAGCCTT